GTTCTCAAACAGAGAAAAGACCAATGTGTGTGCATATCAATTTCACAAAACAAATGGATCTCAAATATGTACCAACAAAATTAATTTTTTGAGCTTTTGTCACTTTCTTGTTAACACTAAATTATACAACACTAAGTTATGCTAATGGTAAAAGCCTATTGGAATTTACCAAATATTCATTAGTATAGTTTTAAATTGCTATATGGACATGTGCTCTCAACTGCTAATGATAAAAGTTATGAAAATTCATATGCAAATGGATGTTCCTGTTTAGAAAAATTCACACAGCTTTAACAATGTATTAAATACACTTTATTCCTAATCTACAAGTAGATTAAAAACAGCAAATATAACTGGTAATTTTTCAACACTGTAACAAGCTGATGTAGCAATGGTAGTGCACACAATTTAAAATGAAGAAAATTAATGATGCTTTGAAACACAAATGTTCCCTTTTCCAAAGCAGTAAAGCAATTGCCATAAGAGGTGAAAACATGGATTTCCACTGGATTTTCATCAAAATTAATTTTTTAAAAGAGGAAAGAAGTTATCTTTCCTTAAGTTTCAGCTTCCTAGGCAGAGCTGATCAGCTTTAATTTCACTTTCTAGTTTCACCATGTGACTTCCACTTGCAAAAACACAGGCCCAGCTTACATCATTAATACCTTATATAACCTTCTGCTGGTGTTTCCTTTTATCAGGAAATTCACAAGACACACTGGCCAAAACTTCCTGAATCCCACTGGCTGAAAACATTCCAGGTCTGCTGCCAAATTCACAGCAGCCATGCAAAGAGGAGTTCTGGGCATCCCTGCCTGTACATCTAAGATTTTAAAAAAAAAACTGCTAATCAATGCTATCTCAACATCAGTCTCAATGAGGTCAAGCTTCCTAACCTTTCAAGTATCTGCTTATGGAATGAATGTGTGTGTGTGTGTGTGTGTGTGTGTGTAAGCTGTTGTATTAATGCTGTCATTTTTCATTTCTTGCTAGCATCAGCCTAAGAAAATAGTTCTTAAGCTGCAGTCCAAGAAGGGAAAAGACGGAAATGGTATTGCAGGAACAGAAAAATTATCCGAACCTCAGAGATTCTTCTCCACCAGACTCTCACTGTCCCATCTGGGGAAAGTGGGAAACATAGTCTGGGTACAAAAACATCTTTCTGCTTGCTCCATACAGTGGAGGAAGGCAGACTCACACAGTCCAGTCAGCTCCATATGGAGCCTCTCAAGTTCCACTGAGTAATGTGGGGATGTGTAGGGAGAAGTCCATGGCCTTCATCTCTGGACTCTGCTTATACTTTCTCACTGCTAGGCTCTGATGAAAGTGTGAGTGGACTGAAGATTAGTAGGTCCCCTCTTCCTGAGAAGGCAGGTCATTTCCAGTCCCTGCCATCCTGCTTTCTCTGAGTCCTGTCTACATTTCTCTACTTAGACATATCCACAGTGGCCTTACTTAAAAGGCATAGAGTAGAAATATCTGCATAGGCCCAACAAGTTCTGGGCCAAATAACCTGTTATCAGCAGACAAAATAACTAGTTAATATTGACTTGTAAATGTCCTTTCAGTGTTCTGCTGAGCACAGTGTGGGAGGGGTAAATTGCCAGAAAATGTACAACTGCAGGTTTATGATGGCCTGTCCTCCAAACACAGAGTTGTAACTGATAACTGAAATGATAATAATAATAATAATAGATGTTACAGGGAGTTATGACTTCCTGTGTGCTTGAGTGCCAGCCTGGTTTCTAAAACTATAATAAAAATTATTACATTTAATCCTCAAAAGAAGTCAGTGAAGCAATTACTTATCATATCCTGATTGTAATATCAGATATTGTATTGTTACAATTTCTAAAATAAGTAAATTTATGCTTATAAAATACATACAAGATAAAATTTACCATTTCAGTCTCCCTAAGTGTACAACTCAGTGGTGTTCAGCATGCTGACGATGCCGTGCAATCTACACAAGAGCAGTTTTCACCACTGTGAGGAAACCCCATCCTGCTTATCTCTGCATACCCACCTCTGCCCCCCTCCACCAGAAGTCAGGTTTTCTGTGTTTCTGCATTTGCGCATTACAATTATTTCATATAAATGGAAGCATTCATTATGTACTTGGAGTGAGGTCCCATAACCTCATGGGCCTCACATCCATTTCAAGTCTGAGCTGACCTCTCTCCTAGAAGGAGCAGGTTAAGTTCTTCCGCCAGAGCTTCCAGTTCTCTAGCTCTCCACACTTTTTTCTCAGTGTCATTGATCCAGCCATGCCCTGGTGACTGCCTTCCCTTAGGACAGATAGATGCACAACCTACTGGATGTGCTCCACTGGCTGCTACTCCCTGCATAGACAGGGCACACATGCCAGAGTGTCCACCTCCCAGTGACACTGTGACCCTGTTTAACATGACCAGCTTGCTCTAGACATCCAATTAGAGTTACTACAGGAAACTCACCTAAGTGATGGGCTGAACCCAGTAATGCTTTCGCCCATGATACCTCTCTTTCTCTTCCTCCCCACGGGGGGTGGAGCATCCATGCCCCTTACAGTTCCCTTCAGCATTGGCCCTACAAGTTGTGTTACTCTCTTCTCTTTAGGACCTATGTATAATCAACCGCTTGTTACTTTGCATGTTGTTGGGAGGAGCCATCTCTGTGTATCACCCGGCTGCCACACCAACCCTCCCATCTTTCCAAGCTGAGCTCTCTAGGGAGTGGCTACTGCAATGTAGAAGAAAATGAACAAAGGCAAACAAGAGCCACTAGAAGCCTGCCAGTGTACATGTGCTGACTGTGAGGGGCAGCTGGTCATGGCTTAGACAATTCAGCATAATGCTGTCCCCAGGATAAAGAAGTATCTTGCCAGGCATAGTGGCACACACCTGTAATCCAGAATGAGGGAGGCTAAGGTAGAAGGATCGCTGAGTTTGAGACCCAACTGGGCTACACAGTAAATTTAAGGCCAGCCTGAACTATATAGTAAGACCCTGTCTCAAAGAAGAAAACAAATGTCTGATGAAGACCATACTCCAAACATCTATAATCAAATACCAGTAAAGTTCCATCATAGCAGGGTTAAAGTTCATAGTACTCTTCTGAGATAAACCTAAAAACCAAATAAATAAAACAGGAGTCCAATATTGTCCTCTTGTGTTTATTTCTTTAATTTCACATCATGTCTTCAAGCTTCATCCTACTATGATATTATTTGTAGACAGAGTTAAAAACAGGTGATAGGGGTAAAACGGAGATGGAATGAATGGGTCTTAATTCTATAGGGCTGGTGTCCTTAAAGAAGAGAAAGAGATGTCAGAGTTGCCTGTGTTCATGAGCCAGGAAGAAAAGACCGTGTGAGCATGTGAGGAAAAGAAAATACAGTGCTGTTGCTTACATCAGCCAGACTATGCTATTTTGTCATGAGAATCTGTGTAGAATAATGTAATAATATTTTCAACGGCTTCTTGTGCATTCTTTGTTTGTTTCCATTGGTCTATATCTTCATTCCTCCAAGTGGTACATCTCTTTTCTCTTATTCCAAGGTAATATTTTGAGGGGCATCGACTCTTAGCATTGCATCTGGCTTTAACCTCTGGCCCAACTACTCAGGGGTTAGGAGGTTGAGGCCAGAGGATCAAGCCTTTGAGGTCACCCTAGATGACAAGGTGAGGCTTTTACCTGGAATTTGCCATAATCTGATTCCCTGTGCTGTCATGAATGGATTCCAGGCCCCAAGACCCCTAACCCCCTATGCTATCATCTATGTGCATTCTTAAGTGAGCGTGTCAGAACTTTATCTTTAGATTTTATAGATTTCTTAAAAATGACCTTACATACAGGTCCAGTTAGCAATTAATTAAGAGACCTAGTGCACTATCTCTAGGGTGGGAATACTTACACAGTGATACCTTGGTTCATGAACTTAATTCTTTCCACTATTCTGGTGGCAGACTGAACTGGACAAGAACCAAATCAGATTTCCCCACCAGGTCAACATTGAACCTGAATATTGAACTTGATGTATATGAATGTATAGGTGTGTGTGTGTGTGTGTGTGTGTGTGTGTGTGTGTGTGTTACATAAGAGCTTTCTTTCAAGTGGCCAATCCTCCTCTCGTTTGTATTTAATTGGATGTGGGTAAGGTGGGAGCTACTTTGATTTCAGAACACCTGGCTTCTGTGTGCTCTGCCTGTCTGCCTCTTGTTAATCCACCCCTCCAGGGAAGCTTTAACTCTTTCTAGTCGGGATTAGGCAGAAGCCTAGTGAAGCCTTAACCTCTCTACGGACCTCTTTCCCTAAACTACTATAAACTCAGAAGACCACATGACAGGTAGAGATAAGACAAGGCAGGACACCAGGAGAACTCCGTAGAACCTATGATGATCTGCCTACTATGAGAATCCCTTCTGGGAACCAGAATGCACTCGATGGCTAGCAAAGTATACACTGAAAATAAGAAAAATATTATCCTTATGCCTTGATGTGCTCTGAGCACTGAAGATCTGGCCCACACAGCTTTTCAGTTCCTGTGAATTAGCAAGAGGTTATAAGTCTATTTATTTATTTATTTATTTATTTTTGCTATTGACTATTCTACAGAAAGCAAGCAAAGTATAGAGAAATCAGTACATGCTCATTCTCAGAGAATGAGAGTAACTCTGGGTTGAGAGTTCCATTCAGCGATTCACACCATTTTACCCCCATTATCTGAACAAGCCCTGGTTGCACTTGAGAAAATAGAGTGCAGAAAGAGACATACTTTTTGCAAATTCATACAACCGTTTTCTCAGCTATGTCTGGCTCTAAACCAAGTTCCCATTGCACTAAGTAGCATTTCCTTGTGCCCAAACTGTCAGGCCAGAAGAGAGGATTTCACGATCAGGATATTTGTTTTCACCAGCTTCTTCAAAAGCAGTTATCAAGACAACAAGGAAGGCACACCCACCTCGGTTTCAGTTTAGGTTTCTCCAGCAGGAACTGTCCGTCTTTAGTTTCACTTTCCAACTTGCAAATGCAAGGAAGCACTCAGAAACCACCCTCTGAAACGCCCACATATTTACTTGTGAATATAACTTGGCCATGTTTCAATTTTTGTGAAAAGCCTCCCCTTAGCTCCAAGGAGCCCAGCCAGCGAAACAGGTCAGAACTGCTGCCTAATTCCCAGCAACCATGAGGTAAGGATTTCCACTCTTCTTTCCCAGCATTCTGAAGTGTTAGAGAAAATATTAATCAGTGCTGTCTCAAAAGCTTTGTTGTCAGTGACATCAAGCTTCCTAACCCTTCTATTTGAGCATCTGCTTCTGAAATGAGTATGTGTGTACTTTCACACACTAAGGAAGTATGTGATGGCTCGAAGGAGGAGATAGGGGAAAAGAGTTTTGCAGGAAGAGAAAATACGTCCCAACCTTAGAGATTCTTTTGCACCAGCTAGGGAAAGGAGGACCAGTGTTTCTGAGTAGAGCCATAGCTTTCTGCTTGATCCTGACCTGGAGGAAAAGCAGAACCCTCACAGCCCTCTGAGCTGCTTTTAGAGCCTCTCACAAGCCTGGGGATTATAGGGTGGAGATGGGAGAAGCTCACTGCCTTTCTCTGTGGGCTTCTGCTCTCTCTCCCTTTCTTACTGCTGGGCTCTGACCAGGTCTGGCTGAACTGAACATTAACCAATTACTGTACCTCTTGTTAGGGAGCAGGGCTGCCTGCAGATCCTTGGAATTCTTTTTTCATGGGTCCTGTGTGATAGACATCCATGTTGTTCTTGCCTAAAAAGGCCAGTGTAGAAATTTACTTATGGTCACAAATAAATCCTAGACCAAATAACTCCCATTGTCTGCAAATATAAAATAAGTTGGCTGATACTGGCTTGTAAATATCACCAGGTGAATTTGAGAGGAGCAAATTTGCAGAAAATGTGCAACTGCAGACCCTATTTTTTCACCAACTTTCCCTACGCCTCCCTCCACCTCTTTGTCCCTTTGCTATTTTAGAAGCATTTATCTTTCTACTTCCTATGGTCTCTCTTTTATTTTGTTCTTTATTTATATTTTAGGTTTCTCATATAAGAGAAATCATGTGATATTTTAGTTTGTGTGTCTTGCTTTATTTCACTTCACGTTATAGTCTCAAGGTGCACCCATTTTCCTACAAATGACTCAAGTTTATTTTTCTTAGTGGAAGAGTAGTACCCTATTGTGTGTAAATACCACATTTTCTTTATCCATTCATCTATCATTTTTTGTGTTATTATTAAGTTAGAAAACTGTTCCATATCAGGTATCGTGCCTCATGTGCTTTACATATATTTATTTCTCCTTATAGCCCAGTATATTGAGTACAATAGTTATCCCCATTTTACAAATGAGACTTGACACTAGAGTGGCTTTGTTGCAGATCGGATGGAAAACGCTTTGCACCAAGGAATTGGAGGCAACATTTATTAATGTCATGGGCTGATGGGACCAGGGTCCAAATCATAAGCACTGGCTTAAAGTAAAACAGCAACTTATATACATATTATAAGCAGGAAGCACAAAGTCGATAAGGGTTAGTTTATAATTGGTTACATATATATTAAGTCGTACATTGTCAGGGAGATGTGTCAAGGAAAGGTTTTAACCGGAGGGGGTCATTTAGAATGAGCTAAGTCAAGGTCTTAGGCAAGCAAATAAGATTGAATGTGATCTTTACAGAGCTAGTCTGACTCAGGTGGATAGCACTTGAAGTAAGCTAGCATGACAGGATATTTGTGTAGGCCGTTGTGCAGTTGGTCAGAAAGGGCTAAGTCACTTTTATCTGTGAACTGCAGCTGTGTAGTTAAGGCTGATTGAGTCTGACGGTCCAGATATGAAGCTATAGTTTAAAAAATTTCCCATTACAGTTTCTTGCTTAAACAGTGTGGAAATTACATTATGGATCATTAATCACATGACTGACCATTAATCCTAATGTGTCAGCTTCACTGGATCAAGAAATGCCTAGTAAATGAGTATGGCATTCTTGGATTCCTCTGGGTGGGACATGGAAGCATGGCCTTGGGGAATATAAATGGTCCCTTACCAATTCGTTTCTGGCTTTTCACCTGCAAGGCTCCTCAGCTGTCACGAGCGAAGCAGCTTTGCCCCTCCACACCATCTGCCATGACGCTCTCGCCTTGGATCCAGTTAAATGTTGACTGAACTCCTACAAAACATGAGCTGGATTAAACCTTCCCTTCTTTAAATTGTGTGTCTGATGTTGTATATCAGCAGTGGGAAAGCTCACTGACAGAGGGTTTAAGAACTCTTATTCCCTGTCCAATATACATCACTGCAGGACTCTAGGTAAAATCTATGTAAGTGTGAGATTTTCAAGTAGTGCAAAAACTATAAAAAAATGATTATTTTTTGTTTTTAATTTTGGTTGTTCATCCCTTGATAAATCTGCATGTTTTTTCATAGTGAGAATATTGAGGACCAGCAAGTGAAGGATTGCCTGGTTCAGCTGAAATGTCACTTTACATGGGACCTGGTAATTGATGACACTGAAATATCTGATTTAGAAGTCAGGGCCTTGGAACACATTGAGAATCTAGACAAGAACAAAGTGGGAATGTACAACCTCCAGGCCTACGTGGAACACCTGAAAGGCCAGAATGACAAAGCTCTGCAGAGCCTGAAAGATGCTGAAAGCTTGATCCAGAAAGAACCCACAGACCAGTCAGACATGAGAAGCCTGGTGACCTGGGGCAACCGTGCCTGGGTGTACTACCACATGGGGAGGTTGGCAGATGCCAAGATGTACCTGGACAAGGTGGAGAACATTTGCAAGAAATTTTCAAGTCCCTTCTGCTATCAGATAGAATGCCCTGAGCTGGACTGTGAGGAGGGATGGGCCTTGCTGAAGTGCGGAGGACAGAATTATAAGCGGGCTCAGGCCTGCTTTGAAAAGGCTCTGAAAGCAGAGCCCGAAAACCCTGAATTTAATGCTGGATATGCTATTGTCACCTTTCGCCAAGATTGTGATCATAGTAACGTAGTTTCCCTAGAACCCCTGAGGAAGGCCTTGAAACTAAATCCAGAACATGGATATATCAAGGTTCTCCTGGCACTGAAGCTTCAAGACATAGGAGAGGAAGATGAAGGAGAAAAGTATGTTGAAGAAGCTCTTAACAACAGGTCCTTCCAGACCTATGTCTTTCGCTATGCAGCCAAGTTTTACAGACTAAAAGGCTGTGTGGATAAAGCTCTTCAACTCTATGCACGGGCCTTGGAGGCAACACCCAATTCTGCCTACCTGCATCACCAGATTGGGCTTTGCTACAAGGCAAAAATGTTCAAAATAAAGGGGGCTAGAAATATGCAGGATAGAGAAATTATTGACAAATTGGCTAAACTGGCTATAAGTGAGTTTCAAATAACTGTGACTGACAGGCCCACATTTCAGATAGCTTACCTTAACATGGCTGATGTGTATGCAAACATGGGTCAGTATGAAAAGGCAGAGGAAAATTTTCAGAAAGCGTTAGGCATGAAGAATGTTGCTGATCACTTAAAACAAGAGAGTAATTTCCGCTATGGGCGTTTCCTAGAATTTCACAGGAAATCTGAAGATAAGGCAATCACCCATTATTTAAAAGGTCTCAAAATAGAAGTACCATCCTTTGCCAGGGATAAACTTCTAAATGCTTTGGAGAAATTGGCTAACAGACGAATTCAGAAGAATGTTCGTATTGTGGAAAGCTTTAGCCTCCTCGGGCTGGTCCACAAATTGAAAGGGGAAGTAAATGATGCCCTGTTGTACTATGAGAAGGCTCTGAGGCTCACAGAACACCTGAATCCTATGTTTTAAAAGATAACTCACCAGTACCAATGTCACATGTTCGCTACTAAGTATAACAATATCTTGTAGTTTCTGCCTCAAAAAATGTTTAATGCAGTGAATACAAAGTAGTTGAATGCAACATATCCTCTGCTGCCTGCCCAGGCCCGCCGCCTTTACTTTTTGTTATGTGTCTTATGACAGGAGCATCACCTTTCCACCACACGCTCCTGCACTTGTTGGCCATGGGTGGTTCCTGCGGCTTTGCACACCTGTCAGCAACTAGTACAGCAAGAATAATTTCCTTATGAATATACATTTGAAGTGAATAGTTTCCTTCCTTAGTCTCTCGGTGTACAGGACAGAGGACACTTCCAAAAGGAAATTGTCTTTGTCATGTGTCCAAAGCTTTGACTTGCAGAAAGATTTAAGAATCTAAAATAAATGAGGGAAAGTAAGAGTTGGAAAGTAAAAAGGAATTCAGGAGTTCCCTGCAGCATTCCAGCCCACAAACCAAATTCCCCAGTTACTACTGTCGCCAAGCTGTGGTCACTGAGCTTAGGCTACAACCTTATAATGAAGCAATCTTCTTTACGTGATTCCCGCTCTTTTCTGTCACAGTTATCTACGTAGTCCAACCACATTTCTGGACATTTATTCACAACAAGTATGAGTTTTGATATACTACATTTTAAAAGGGGGAAACCTATTTGAATATGCAAGCTGAACTTGACACAAATATGTTTGTATAGTTTTTAGGGTAACTAACTATTGGTTAGTATGTGTAACATAATCTTTGCCTAATACCAAAATACTCAGTAAGTGTACTGATACCACAGTTACTTTGACTATATTTTGGGTCATATTAAAAAAGGTATGTACTGTGTTGAGGTAGAAGTTGAGGGAATGCCATGGAGACTGGACAAAAGGGCATGACAGTCACAGAGAGCTGTCAAATCACAGCACAGAACAGCTTTGCTGTCCTGGACCTGACATCAGAAGAGAATGTAAAAGACAGTGACCATCGAATGCACAGCCACTGTGGTCCTCTTGATCTTGGAGTGGCTGATCCTCTATGTGGTGTGTATCTTCACTTTTCTTCTTTTTGCACTTCCCTTTTTCTTCACATCTTTTCCTTTAAATAAACATTGCATGTTCAAGTTCAATAATTGTCCCAACCAGTTTTTTCAACAGAACAGCAACAGCCTGGAACCAGTGGATACCACACCATCCCAAAACACTGTATTTGTATAGATGCTGGAAAATGCGGAGCCAGTACCCTGTGTATAGCCCTAGGAGGACGGGCGCAAAGTATAGAGAGCCCTTTCTGGTCCTCATTGTGGCCCAGGAAGTTTATACTTACAATCCCGTGGAAAAGTTATTGGAATTCCAGTGAGTTAATTTCAATCTACCACTTCCGGTGCAACCCATGGTAACAATAAAGACACTGAGGCGTATTTGTAGTCATGGGGAGCTAAGCAGTCCTAAGTCCAGCCACAGTGATGGCTAGCCGGAACCAAGGTATTGACCCAAGGTTGAACCCGGGTTTGATTAATTCATGAATAAAGGAGAGGCTTGAGGATGGGTGACTGTGAGAATGGCAGGAAATAGGTGAATGCTGTGAGCCTGGCTAGGTAGGAGATTGAAATCACCTCTGCAGTATGCAGAGAGAAGGATATGCAGGAAGAGTAGTCTGCATAACACACATGAGATAATATCTCATGTTTGGGGATCAGCTTCAGCTCTGATGTGTAATCATTTATGCCCTGGGAAGTCATTACCTTTTCTCTTGAGGCATGAAGCACGGTTGTCCATCCCATCTCCATCCTGGCCTTGTACATGTTTATTTGGGGAGGTAAGGGTGCTTGGGGAAAACAATGTCCTGTCATCTTTGCTTCAAAGACTATCATCAGTGCCTCTTCTGGACCAATTCGCACAGCTTAAAGCCAATTGAAGGGATAAGGAAGAGTCCTAGCCAGCTCTGCACACATCAACACATGGAAATAGGGCCAGGTTCAGCCAAAAGGGAGACAATTGCTCCTCCTTCAGGGAGAGCTGCTCAGGTGTCCTCCACAGCAAAGAAAGATGTGCAATTATACATGACACAAAGTCTTAAAATATAGGGGTGTGGGGAGAGTATTTACTTCTGTACATCATACAATTAGAAATTTGACTTATGTCACCTTGACTCCACAGCAGGTGGAAATTGGTGTGGCTGGGTCACTCAGGTGACACTTGGGGAAAATACTAGTGACAATCATTTCACCTTTGTTGACAATAAATCTGGACAATTTCATTAAGTTCAAACATAAGAAGTAGGAATCCATGAATATCGGTCTTTCTCTGTCAATAGATGTGACTTGGGTTCAGTAGCCACTCCTAGAAATCTTTACCTATGACCACAGCATAACCACTTGTAGGGGGAGATTTGCTTTCACTCACACACATATGAAAATGAGAAAGCTGAGGACCCATCTGTACTTCTTGGAAAACACACACAATGCAATTAGAATTGTCACCTATACCGCTTTTAGCTTAGTCCAGTTCTGATTGTTAGTAAACTAATAGCTGCTGTTCCGTAGCCATTAGCTGATCTTGGCAACAGGAAGTAAAGAAGGATTTAAAATCTTCTTGGCCAAGTTCACCACAATGTAACAAAGGCATTCAACTAGTTGGTAAGTTGTCAAGATGTTAGGTTTTGTTACACAAAATTCCTCCTTACTTATTACTGAAAAATTTTGACGACAATAGGTAGTAGAAGAAAGACCTGTTTTCCCAAAAATTGACGTGGATGTGTGTGGGGATATTAAGATAAGTCCTAAAACAAGCTATTTTAGAAAAACATCATCTCTTTGACATGTAGGAAAGATTCAATAAGGTATAATGGGGTGGTTACCTGGACAGTTTGTAAATGCTGCTATCAGCAAGTCCTAGACACATTATGGCCAGGAAAGAGCAGAAATAGCTAGAGAGTCTAGAGGAATGTGTGACTGTCCATATCTATTAAAATAAAAAGCGTGGAAGAATAAATTAAATTAAAGTTTATCTTTGTGGAAGGAAATGGAAAAATAATAGGGAAAACAATAAAGGCTGGATTTCTGTAAACCTGGTTTTGGAACCATGGCAATAGTTTATTAAATACATATTTTTTATTTTGCAGTTAACCTTTGGAATAGAAGTTAGAATGAGAAGCTTTCTATAGAGATAAGAAGGCATTATGCAGAACAATAGCAAACAATGATAGTTATTGTTATTGTTACTATTAGCACACTAGTTGCCAGAGAACGACTCTCAATAATTTCCATTATTTTTTATCCAGTACACATAACATTGCCTTTTAATAAATGTTATCGAAATTACATTAGAAAAAAATAATTTTTTAAAGCTGTATCCATGGTCCATTGAAAACATTTGTTGAGATAGGTAGAAAATTCTTGTTATAATTTTTATTTTTTATTAATACATGTTTTTAGTACCTAAGCCAACCACCTATGCATGGTGAGTTTTTTCGATTATTTATATTAATTGCCTTTTATGCAACAAGAAAGTGTGAAAAATGATGAATGGAAATGAGTCAATGAATACATATGTAACATAGTAAAACAAAAATTGTACAAACTAGGTGTATATTTATTTTAAAATTTCCTCAAGTTTTCTCTGATTAGATGTGTAATCAAACATTTGGATAAAAAAGAACAAAAATATTCAAAATGTACAGTATAGCAGACTAAGATAAATAAATCCATATGTACAAGGGATTTAGAATAAAATCAGGGGAAAATTCAAGGATTGTTTTTAATGCACCCATCTCACTCTAGATATGTAAGATAATGTGTATTATGGACAAAGAACACAAAGAAAAATTCCTGACCTGCACTCAGCAAAAATTCTGTTGAATTTGTTATTTGATCTTCTAGTGTATTTTGGGGAGGGTTCCATGAATGAAGAAGTTGGTATCACTTAGAAAAAAGATGCTTAGCTTGGGGGGAAATGCACATATATAAAATTGTTTAAGAAGAAACCCTGTATACATGAATTTATAAGATAACACCATGACATTTGCTCTTATACAGGCAATGTATCATTTTTATTTTCCTGATTTTAATACTATACTACAGAAATTTAAAAGATCATTATAGGAGGATGTTGAATAACAGGTATACAGTAACATTCTTGCTATTTCTTGTGAGTAGCACTCCTTTTAAATGAGCTATAAAGTAAGAAAATGACATGATAAATAGTCTGTTAGTTCTTGAATAGATTGCAGTAAGCCAAATTGTGGGTCAAGGTGGGCTGAGCCCAGGAACACCAACGAGAAGGTATGCATTCAGCAAGCCATTCACAAGACAGGATTTCTGCTACTGAGTCCTTTCCCCATTGATGTGAATGGAAGTAGTTTAGGAATAACCTCCATACTCAATAATGTTTTCATATACCCTGCAAACACTTAACATTACATTTTTACAAAGCTGACTGTAACTGAGAATATTCCTGTGATTGATGAAATTAATGAAAGCACAGGATGTATAGTTAGCATGGTATTGTAAATGTTCAAGGGTAGATTTTAAATCATGAAAAGAAGTGTCTATAAGTCTGACAGGGTGAACTAAAATTTCTAAGGAAAACCAGACACAGAACATCTCTAGTAGGTGGACTGGTGGCACAGAGGAGAGGGAACGAAATGGACAGAGGGAGGAGGGGAGCGTAAAGAAGAGGAAAAAAAGAGTTGATGTGTTATGTATGTGCACCAACTCCCACGAAGAATGTGATCATTATGTGCTGCTCATATATATTAATAAAAATAATTTTTTCAATAAAACACTGGACTTTCAATAAGCAATCCAGTCTGTAGGCCCTATTCTGCAAGCCAGTAATGCCTTTTAGACCAAAAGTGACAGCCTTGGATAAGGCCAAGGCATCATCCACTTCATGTTGCTCATGAGTGTGTTCATTTCAAAGAGATCTTCAGCAAGAAGGTCACTAGCTGAGAAATGTGAGCATGGCACTGAGGAAGCAAGACCAGCACACAGTCAGAGCAATGACAAGAAAAGCATTTTATTCCTTTCTCTACATGATATCAAGTGCTTTAGAAAATAGAGAAACTTGTTGTTACATATTACCTGTGTTTCATAAGAATTTTTATGACATTTTGCACCAAAATCAGAGATGTCCTAATTTATTTGTTTTCAGGTTTTAGTTATAGCCAGAACATTTTTCTAAAGAAAAAATAATAATAATTAGACCTGTCTCATTATTTCAGGAATTTACACTCATACCTAGATTTCTGACTATGTCAGGATGTCTCTGTGGACATATATGCAGCTGGTGAGGGAGGAGGTGGCAGAAGAGCTGGGAACGGAGATGCTCCGGAGCAGGCGGGGTGTCCATGGAAGGTTTCTGAGAAGAAAACAGTCTTTCAATTGCTCTTGTTCTGGTTATTATTTTAAAAGACACAGTAGGTAGTTTTTATTTTTAAAGTAGTATTGTACTGGGCGTAGTGGTGCATGCCTGTAATCCCAGCACTTGGGAGGCTGAGACAGGAGGATCATTGTGAGTTCGAGGCCAGCATGGGCTACAAAGTGAGTTCAAGGCCAACCTGAACTGCATAGTGAGACTCAGTCTCAAAAAGACAAAAAAAAAAAAGAGTATTATTTTTAATCTGGTGACTGAAGATAATAATAATGATAATATTTACAATAACCACCTTTGTTGGCATGCTTCTGCAGTATATCTTGTCCTGAGTTTGAGTGAGAATTTGAATCAGAGCAAGGCTTCATGCTGGAAAAACAGAGGGCTTACTCTTCCCACTGTTGTACTTGGAGAGGACCGCATGGGTGATTCTCCTCGAAGGAGCAGCAATTGTTTGGCTGAACCTGCTTATCCCTTCAATTGCCCTTAAGCAGTGCAAATTAGTCCAACTGAGGTGCTGTTGCATAGTCTTTGAAGCAAAGATGACAGGGTAGTGTTTCCCTGCCCTCCTAGCTCCCAGATAAACATGTGTGAGCAGGGGTGGGATGGAGAGCAGTGCTCCATGCTTGGTGGCTAGGATCTGGCCTCCAGATAAGAGGCAATGACTTCCCAGGGCATAAACGATTACACATCAGAGTTTAAGCACTGACCCCCAAACATTAGATATTACCTCAGTTATATTATGCAGATTACTGTT